TTTTTTATAAATGGAATAAAATGAAAGTTAAATTTAATTATATTTTATTCATAAATTATATTGTATTAAGTAAGGGTAGGGATCAATTTATTTTAAGAGTGAATTTTTTAACTTACTCTAAATCACAACCTTTGAAATGAATCTAATATAATAATTAGTTAAGTAAAAGGTTAATCTAACCATTAGATTAGATTCAATTCAAAGACTATAATTTGGAGTAAGTTATAAAAACTTACTCTTTGAGTAAGTTGATCCCCACTCATTAATTAATATAATATTTAATTAACACATGTGTTAAACTTAAACTGAGTATTTGTTTTATAACCAGCGAAGAAGACAAAAAACACAATGAATAAGAGATGAGAGCACAACGACAATGACACGATAGAAGCATTTGATTCGAAACCCATAAGAGAAACACGAACCCTAACTTCACTAGGTATTATTTGATTTGTTTCTGGTTGTTGTTGACGAAAACGAATCTAAACCCTAACTTCAATTTTAATGTAAAACAACGGTGAAATACTGGTCTCTAACTTCAAATCTAAACCCTCGTCTTAGACAAAGGAAGATTCAAAATTTGTTCAAAGTGTGTATATTCAAAACTAATATGATAGTTGCACTGATAGTTGTAGCATGTTCTGAAATTGATAGTTGTGGTATGTTTTGATATGATTATTGCACTGATAGTTGTAATATATTCTGAAATTGATTGTTGTGGTATGTTCTGATATGATAGTTGCACTGATAGTTATAGTATGTTCTGAAATTGATAGTTGCGATGATATGATAATTGTTATGGTATGTCATGTAAATTGTACTGATATGATATGGTTGTTGTTGTTTGTTCATTTTGTTTCGGTGTAAGCCAATTAAGATAAATGCAGTAAAACTTGAATTAATCATGGAGGGAGTTTACTTCATTATCCTTGCAAGCTATATGTAGATGGAAAGGTAGATGAACTGAATTGGAAATAGGATGTCAATTTGATGTCATATACGGAGATATTCGAAGTAATTAAGTCATTGGATTATCTAAGAATCAAATGTATGTGGTAGCACGATCCAAAGTTTTCACTTGAGCGTGGACTTAGGCTATTAACAATGGTAAAGATGTTCTGAAATTTGAGGAAGATATGAAAGGTAATTATTATGCTGATATCTATATTGAGCATATAGTAGATGAACCTAATGTTGTAACAAAAGATGAAGTAAGGGAGTCTGTTGAAGCTCAATAAAAAATACTAAATGTTGACTCAAATGGTGAAGTCCATCTTGAGGATAAGGACGAAGACCATGTTGAGGAGACAGAAGAAGTCCAACCTGAGCATAGAGAAGAAGTTCAGAGTGCACAAAGTGAGGAAGATGAAGACTTTGTTCACGATGATAATGATGGTTTAGATGATAGTGGACTCAATGAGCTAGATGATAGCCATATATTCACGAAAGAAGGCAATGATGCAAACAATTTCTCTCAAACATTGGAGCCAACGAAAGTATCTGATTTTGAGGAAGGTCGTGATGTTAACTCGGATGAACTAGAAACTCCACAAGGAAGTGAAAATGAATGTGAATAACATAAGTATCCTAAATTTAAAATTCCTGATTGTGGTGATGTGTTGAGGCTTGATCTTGGAATGAAATTTTCCACAAAGTAGTTTGTTAGAGATGTTGTTAAGAGATATGCAATGGAGAGAAACAAACTTGCACTTCAAGAAAAATAATAGTTAAAGAATAGTTATCAAGTGCGATAATAAATGCCCTTTTCAAATGAGATTTAGTAAAGGGTAGCCAACCAATTTTGGCAGTTGGTGAGCTTGACTGATGATCATACTAGTCATAGGACTGCCAAGAATATGCAAGATAAAACTGAGTGGCTAGTTAAGAGATTTATATCGGTCCTTAGACATACACCTGAAATGAGACCAAATGAATCAATTGAATAGTCACTTGTGTGTGTGTGTGTGTGTTTGTGTGAGTGTGTGCGCGTGCGTGTGCGTGTGTTGTTTCTATCAACAGAAAAACAAACTTCATGGCAACATATTCATACATTGTTCTCCTCTCTAACAGTCAAATACTTTGGCCAACAGCTCAAGGGAAACCAATTAATCCACCGATAATGAGACGAGCTTCGGGTAGACCGAAGAAGAAAAATAAAAATAATCACAAACCGAGTTCATGAAATGTATTACCAAGGTATTTGACAACTGTAAAGTGTAAGAGTTGTGGGAATTTTGGGCACAATTTGAGAACTTACAAAGGAAAAACAGCGGCGGACCAAAAATTGCCCAAAGGAAGTAACAAGGCAAAAAAGAAAAAGAAATGTTCGACAAAAGAACCACCAACCATGTTAACACAAGTATGACAAGCGCGACAAACACAAGACTAACATAGTAGTTTAGTGCACCTAAAGTGATGAGTTTCTTTTGTGTTATGAACTTGTTGTGTAATATTATAATGGATTACTACTTTAATGTGTAACCTTGTATGTAAGATGCTATCACTTTTGTTAAGTTTTATGTTTAACCTTGTAAGGTGCGTCAATTTTTGAAGAGGATTACAAATTTAATGTGTAAGCTTTTAATATTTAATGAAATCTTATCAGTGAATTATGGATTGAATTATGTTACTAGTGAATTGTGTTACAATGAATTTTATGTTATCAGTAATTATGAATAAAACAATTGTATCAGTAAAAAATGGGTAGAACAAATGTGACAGAATAATTGTATTGCATCAAACCATTGAGACACAAACATTAATTACAACATCAAACCATTGGTACATGCCATTAACCTTACTAAACCTAATTACATTAACAACATAGGTAACACCTTAATAACTTATAACAAAACATCAAAGGTAACACCAATTGAACTCAAACCTTACTACAATAACCTCAACCTTACAACAATGACATTTAAACTTAAACAAATGCTTTTGTGATCAACATGATGATAAAAAAAACCAAGATAGAATAAACAACATAATTAACAGTTTAATTTTCTTCTTCTTCGGGTCATCATCACTCTTCTTTGTTAAACTATGTTTCTTCTTTAACTCATTAACCTTCTTCAAAAGCGAGTTGATCACTTTCTTTGAACATTCTAGTATCTTTTCATCGTACCAATAAAAAAAAGAATACCCTTTCCCCCATTGTAACTGAATGAAACAAATAAGAAGATATAATTTAGTAATTACCTATAAATGTTTAAATTAAAAAGATGAATACGACTAAAAAAATTAGGGATTTAGATGCACCTTGAATAACCCACAACATAGAATCTCCTACCTGGATTCTCAGATTTCCACGCAGTTGCAAGTGAAGGGCAATGATGCAAATTAATACTTGAAGAAGATGAACACAATGGTGAAACAACAACGAACTGTGCGATGGACAAGGCGATGGAGAGAGCTATGAACACGATGACCAGAGATTTGATTTATGAATTATCAATTTCATTTGTTAAATATACATTTATGAATTAATAATTTTTTAATTTGTTTTTTATTATTTAATAATGACCTGGCAACAAAATTAAAGCCACATGTTAAAAAAATGACACATCAGCGTTTTTTTTTATAAATAGATAAAGGAGACCAAAACTATTTAAAAAATAAACAGGAGAATGATTTTGTGAGCTAAACATAACAGTGAGATCAAAACTGTAATTTAGCCATTTTAATTTTATAATTATAACTAATATTTTATATACCATTCTTAATTAAATCTATTTTACTTTTCGTTTTTAATAATGATAATAAATACATCAATATTTTATATTTTATAAATTTTAAATTACTTTCACAATTTTACACAAAATTAATATGAGTAACTTTACATAATGAATTATATTTTTTTTAATATTATAAAAGATAAATTATTAAAATTAAGAAAAAGAATAATAACTTGTATGATATAAAAAACATAAATATTTAATTTATATTGTAGAATATTTTATTATTTTAGATACATGACTTGTTTTTTATAACTTTTTCACAATATTATATATTTTTGTTAAGAAAACTTAAAGATGCTATTTTTATAAAATAATTATATAAAGTTTTATTTAAATAGCTTCTCACTCAATTATTTTAATATTTTTCTCTTTATAATTTTTTATGTATGTTAACTTGTTTTTCTTTCAAAAAGCTTAAGACCAAGTCCATTTTCAATAATTTGTCATAAATATCTTTTTTATGAGATACTTTTTTTCGGAAAATATATATAATTTTTTCATTTAGAATATTAAAAAAAACACCAATCTATATTTATAGACATATTCTAAAGTAATGCTAGTAAAAAAATGTTAATCAACCTCTATAATTTATATGTTTATGTTAATTAGTGTAAGAAGATCTACTAGTGTGGGACATAGGAATCATATACAATAAAAGATAAACTTCCAATTTTAATTACTAAAATAGAATTTAATTTTTACCTAAAAAAATAAAATAAAAAATTTTCCAATAACAATAACCAAATAAAATAAAAGAAAGGTACATAATGAGAGAGGGAGTGGGTGAAAAAAATAAAAAAGGTTCTAACATTTACTTGTTTGTACAAAGCAAAACAACTCCAAACAGAGACCTTCCTTCTTTCATTCTCTCTCTCCATTGCACCTTCCCTTCTTCTTTTCTCTCTCATTTTCAGATTCTTCCAATGCTCTTTTCTCTTTCATTCACTTCTTCAGATTCTCACCTCTAATTTCCACTAATTTATTTCACCAATTCTCTTTGATTTCTGCCTCTGTAAAAAAAGCACTTTTAAACACTTTAAAATAAAAACTGCTTCTGCTTTTATAGATTTTTGCTTTTTTTTTCTTCTTGTTCATCTTGCAAGCTGTTTATTGTTTTTTTCTTCTTCTCGCCGCAAATTAATTAAACTAAAAATTAACTGCTTTTTTTTTTCGGAAAATTTCTAGTTTTTTTTTTTCTTCTTTTATTGAACTTTTTCTTTCTGTAATTACTTTGCTTTCGTTTGAGGAAAAGATTGAGAAATGGGTAAACAAGGACCTTGCTATCACTGTGGAGTTTCAAGTGAGTTCTTGTTTCTCCAAAATATGGTTTTTGTTTTTGTTTTTGCAAATTTTTAGAGTAACTATTGACTTTTTTTTGAAATGGAAATTAATTGTTATGTTTTGATTCAAAGGGTGTTTTGTAAGAACTGATTGTGATTTTGATAAAATTGAGGTATTGTTGTTGTTGGTGATTATAAATAATCAAAGAGGTTTTGTTGTAATGTTGTTGTTGTTTAGTGTGTTTGGAATTTGGAAGTTGTTGAAAACTCTATTGATTTCGTTCTTTGATGTCTTTTGTGTCATTTCTTGGTTGGTTTTTTGTGTTTCTAATTTTCTTGACTGAGTTTGAGTCTTAGAAAATGAAATTGGGGCAAAATTAAGCTTGGAAGCTGTTGTTGTTTATTGAAAAGAGTCAACTCATAGTTCATTTATTTCACATTTGGATAATAATGTGGACATAAGAGAAATCGAAATGAGGATATTGTGCATTTGTGAAATGTCCTTCGTGAATTCACTCATGTGTTTTAAAAGGATTATGCAACTTCCTTATTGTGTCAATGGATATTAGTTCATGCATTGCATTCAAGTTCAGCCTTTGAGTTTTCTCAATTCGATTTTGCAACAACGATGTTGTTTTGTGGTGATCACAGCAATTAAACTAATCCTGCAAGTTAAACCTTATAATGTCGATTGTTTTTCTGATAAATTTGAAAACAGTTTCCAAATATTGAAGTCGTAGCTGTTTGGGTGCACTTTAAAATTTAAAATGTTTCATTAAGAATGCATTAACATTGAGGCAGTGATACTTAACACCGGTATCTTATTTTCCTTACAAAAGTGTGTTGCTATGGATGATCTAAATCATGATCATGAATACTGATAGATGATGCTATTGTCAACCTTAAGATGTTTGTTGAGTTTAGCTTTGCATTATATCTTTGAAATACATAGATTTGATTATTGTTAATTGTCTATCCGATTGGAGATAATCTCTCTTCTTGTTTATAAGACGTTTGTTACATTTTAATGTTTTTTTAACAAACAATCTTTGAAATAGGCACACCACTTTGGCGTAATGGGCCACCTGAGAAGCCAATTTTGTGCAATGCATGTGGTTCTCGATGGAGGACAAAGGGAACACTTGCAAATTATACCCCTTTACATGCTCGAACAGAACCCAATGATTATGAAGATCAAAGAGTTTCGAGGTTAAAGATTGTATCAGTGAATAATAACAAAGAAGTGAAATTGGTTAAACGAGAGCAGAACCATGATAATGGTTATTCTGCATCTCGATGGCTCACCCCTGAATATAATCAAGGATTTCAAAAGGCTGTGGATGAGGATACAAGTAATAGATCAAGTTCAGGGTCAGCCATCTCTAATTCTGAAAGCTGTGTTCAATTTGGTGGCACCGATGCTAGTGATTTGACAGGTTGGACTATTACTGTTTGCTAATTTCATTGAAATTTGTTTCTCATAACCGATCATGGCAGCATTGTCTGATTTGTTTGGTTAATTTAGGTGCTTCTCAATCAGTGGTCTGGGATACTGCGGTGCCGTCAAAAAAGAGAACATGTGCTGGTCGTCCGAAGCATTCTTCTGTTGAGAAGCTCACAAAAGAATTGTGTAATATTCTTCACGAACAGCAACAACAGTCTTGTTTTTCAGCTTCTTCTGAAGAGGAACTTCTTTATGAAAATGAAGCGCCAATGGTCTCAGTTGAGATAGGACATGGAAGCATGCTCATTAGGCATCCTAGCTCTATTGCTCGAGATGAAGAGTCTGAGGCTAGCTCTCTTTCAGTTGATAATAAACAGTGCTTAATGAATGAGGCATATTCGTGTTATGGTCCGATTCCCATGCTTAGTGATTACACAGGCATGAATTTCTCTTCCCGGGGAGTTGCAAAGGTCGGAAACTCAGCTGGCCAAAGAATGAAGCAAGAGAAACTTGAGAGGTATGTTTTTACTTCAATCATAACGACACATACGATTGGTTGTTATTTGTTGGGACTGTTTCAAAATTAAACTCTAAAATAAAGTTATATATTGTCTGTCACTACCGAAAACAGTCGAATTCCTGTGCTAGCATGAATTTGGGATTTCCCCAAAAGTGGTAGGGGAATCTCAAGATGTTTAAGGATAGTTTTTTTTACCTCGAGTTTGTTTTTGAGAAGTGATGATGATTTTGAATTGTTACGACTTCATTTTTTTTTTGTTATGAAATTTCAGGAAAAAGTCTCTGCTTGAAAAACTAGAAGTTCTTGGAAATCATGATTCACCACTGGGCTTAATAAATTCAAATGTGAGTTGCATGTTAATTCCCCCTCTCTTTGTATAGTTTGTTCAGCATAATTTAGTAACAATACTGACTCAACAGTGGTGGCATAAATAATACGATCATGTTTTTGGGTCTTGTAATCTTGCGTCAACTTTTGCAAACACATTCATGATTAGGATTTAAACTAGTGTAATTTTTTTACATATGAATTCCATTCATGTAGATATTCGAGGAGATGTATCAAGAACTAACATGACAAAGTGACATTATGGTTTGATTTAATTGGATACATGTGTCTTACACCATTAGTGCATACCAGTTAATATCTTACAATTATATATCGGTCGGTGAAGCTTCGTGTCGTATCCATAAAATTGTCAAATGCTAAATGCAATATCTGTTATGTTTGGTTAGGATGTGGTGAACTATGACGAGTTTTCAAGAAACTTGACAGATGAAGAGCAGCAGCAATTACTGAAGTATCTCCCTGTGGTTGATGCTGCAAAACTTTCTGATAGGTTAGAATCTGCTAGTGTTACTTTGGTTTGTTTTTTTATGTTATAGTCTTTGAATATAAATTTCAATTCCGTCTTTCCGGAATAGGGAATCAAAGTTGTTGAGCGGCATTGTTGTCTCATGTGCAGCCTTAGTATTATGTTTGATAGTTTTGAATTCAAGAAGGGGCTAACTTATTTTCAGAAATTTCTCAGGGAAGGTGTATTCGATGACTCTTTGTTGGGGGCAAACCCTGAAGACTGTAAGACACTGAAAAGGCTTGCATTGTCTAATCTGTCGAAGTCAAAATGGGTAGAACACTATAATTTTCTCAAGGTTTGTGATGGATATTTATCTAATTGCTAATGCTTTTGTGGTGATAACTTAATTTAGGATGATACTTGTCAGATATTGCATCTAGGGGTATTTACGAACAGAATTTGCATCCATTTTTAAGGAATAACTAAACCTATGAAATCTAATAAGTGTCTTTGAATAATACCTTTTGATTGTTCAGTTCAAAATGTAAATTCAATCCAGTGCAAATTGATTTGGTTCTTTCTGAGTGCAGAGTGGTGGAAACAAAGCTGGAAAGTGTGATGATATGGAATCTCCTGCTGTGGCATCAAGTAATGTTGCAAATGTTAAGAGATTGCGTGTCGGCCAAAACCAAAATTTTCCAGGTTAGCTGAAAATTTCATGTCATAATAAAAAAGGCAAGTATGAAAATATTACAATACCTATGATACAAAATGCTGAATATACGTTAAGCTTTTACCTTAAAACACATCAATATAAGTTGTGATTCTGCTATCCATTGTTAACTAGACCTGTTACAATTTAATCAAAGAATCAATCATCTTTCAAATTTCAGAATTGAAGGCAACAATGAGGAGTCCCAAAAGGGTCATCATAAAAGCTAGCAGTGGCGGAAAAGAAATTGTAGACAGCTCTACCATCAGTGGTGGCAACGAAATTGTAGACGGCTCTAACATCTTTGTTAACGAGAGTTCTGATAATGATCTGCTACTAGATTTTCCATCCAACAATTCTTTTCCACAGGCAGAGCTCTTGCTCCCAACTTCTAGCTTGGTTGCTCAAGGAAGCACCAGTAGCAGCTCGGTACACTCTCGTGTTACTCGTCCTTAATTAATCTTTACTAGGTTATACTTGGAAGAGTATGCACAATGAACATAATTTTATGTTTGGTTACGGTCCACATGTTGTGCTTGCGTCTTATAAACACCGAAATCCTCGTACAAGAGATCTGTTGGTTGTTCTTTTGTTTTCTTGCAACCTTATTGAGCTTTGATTGCCAAGGGATGCAAGTTGGATGGGTTCTTTTTGTATAGGTAAATGATAGATTGTATCATATATAAATATATAGCACGAAACGCGGAGTGGTATACTCCATAGTTTTGTATGCGACTGTAACTTATGTTTTGTGAATTATTTGACACCCTCCCTTCCAAGAAACACCATTCATATGAAGAAATAAGTGAATGAGGAAGAACTAGACAATTATTTTGGCTGTAATTAACTTGCAAAACATATGACACTTGATGTGTTTGGTTTTATGGCAGAGTGTTGGATGAATTGCTAGGTCTTTAGAAAATAATCTGCATTGGTCACAAATATGTAGCTTTGATTATGCAACATGTTTGTTGAATCATGAACAAGAGCAGAGACAATGAGTGCATGTTTGATATCATGACGGGTTTGTCAAAATCACATTGATTTATTATAATTTTGACAAATTCATTGTGATACCAAACATAGGGTAAGGCACTGAAGGGCATAGTTAAAACATGGTTGGTATTGGATAATTATGGACACATTTTGATTTAAAAAGTAGATTTGTCTCGAGTAACTTACAATTCTACAAAGACATTAGTTTAAGGCTGAGAAAACTTTTTTTTTTTTTTTTTTATTGCAGTAGTGAATTTTTTTTTATTTTGCAAGTTAACTTGTGGGAGAATTTGGCAATCCTTGGTATACCTGTATATTAGTATTAGTAAAGGAAAGGTGTTCCACTACTAGAGTTGAGCAGAGCTTGAAGATGTGGGTTGCAAGGGTGGACTTGAGCTTTTGGTATGGTGAGAATGTGACTAATTTGCAAGATTAACATTTCAATGCTCAAGTCAGTATGAGAGTAAGATGAGTGAATAAAGTTTGAATTTGAATTGTAACTGGAAAAATGATGTGCTTCTTCTTTATGTAGTGGAAGGGTTATAACAAATTATTGTTCTTCAGACGTAGGATGCAGGGAGCAGTTGGATGGATCTTGGGTTCGGATCTCTTGAGCTCTATCCTAGGATAGCAAATTATTGTTGCATTCTCTGGGTTGCGTTGTAGGGTTTTTTCACCAATCTAATATAGTTGTCCCCTAAGCCTTTGTCTATACTTTATAGGGTGAGGGTTTTGTTGCATTTGTCCTTTCCCATCGGCTATAACCCGACTTGAGTGAAAAGCCAAGAGGTGATGTTGATGTCATTTGAAACTTGTGCCTTAAATGCGCCTCATGCTTCAAATGTCTTTTCGTAGGTTTTTATCATAATGACCCTTAGAAACTGAAGTATTTAAGTGTTTTCCTGAGGCGATCTGGGCCATTGATAATGCTTATTATCTTTCTTTTGGTAAGTCATTGTGTGATCTTTGTGGAGTCATTTATACAGTTTCTTGAGGTGTTACCTTTTCTCTTTCAGTCATTTGTATTTTCACAACATACTACTTTCTTTAGTCAAAAGAAGTGTGTCCATCATGAGTCAAAAATCAATGGAGGATGTTTTTGCCTACTTTCTTTAGTCAAAAGAAGTGTGTCCATCATGAGTCAAAAATCAATGGAGGATGTTTTTGCCTCTGGGGTTGATCTGCCATTTCAACAACTGCCTCTACATATGCTCGTGAAGGTAGTCTCTAAAGGGATTTCCTTGGCATGTCCTTCTTTAGACTAAAGTGTATTGATCCTTGAGGAAGATAAATGAATTTGCAGTGAATAAGATGAGTGCGCTATTTCTTTTTATGAGTGCACTTTCTCGATCTTGGCCTCTACTTACCCTTCAACAATTTTAAAATAGAAGTTTTAAACCATTTGATGATTGCTTCCTCGCAGCTGAACCCAGTGAGTTGGGCTTACATCGAAGTCTTCCATTATTGGTGTGGCTATTTGGCAAGAAAACCCTCTTTATCCTTTTTCTTCCATCTTTTTAGAGTACAACATAGCTCAGTAAGCCACGAGCAGTGACATGGCTTAATTACATTGGTGTATGTTACCCGTTATTTCGAAGTGTTTTTCGATGACGTGAAGCATATCGAAGATTAGTTCTTTTTGGTTACCCTTTCAGAAAGAGGCTCATGCGACAATATGCACCATAGGAACCGAGACAGAGAACAGGTGTATTGGTTTACTTCATAATTTTTGGAACCACAATCACTTTTTTTTTTATGGGGAATGAGTCATATGCATGTTTACAAGGAAAGTGATTTGTCCCAAGATGTGCTTTACTTGAAGAAACAAATGATCATCTTCGTCAAAGAGTTGGTTTATGTTGGAAGGGATTGAAACCTGCTTGTTGATGGACATTGACACCAAGGAAGAGAGGGAGGTTATCTTCGGTGAGCTTCCAGTGCTTTTGTCTTCCATTGTCAGTTATTTTTACCTGCAGATCTTGACATTTTTTATAATTCTCCTATAAATTTAGATGAAGTATGTGAAGATTTTACTCTAAGTGAATAGGGGAATTCAGACTATGCCAGTGACTGTTGGCCTTTCGAATACTTTAGTGTTGGTAATGTTTGTGCCCAGATGGGGTGACAAGGAGGTTGCTCGGTCTTCTAAGTTGGACTCTCTTTGGTTCCGGGGAGGAAGTTCCTTGAAGGTTGCTTTTGTTGTCAAAATTTTAGCAATACTTGAGGGGTGTTGCTGTACCCCAAAATTTGACCAACCTTTTTCTTACTTGGCTTTTGTTTCATCTCATTTTTAGCATTTTGCATTTGCATAAAATTGTCTTTAATAGGGGATCAAGAGTTTGTTTTTGTGCCATCCAAGAGGAGAGTCTTATTGGCTTCAAGTTCAAGTAAAGGCATTGGTACAACTCATCAAGTGTTTGTCATTACCATGAAATTGTCAAAACTCCTTGAGAGGAGAGGTTTGTTGTACCTCCTTGTCTGAGGACCACCAGAGAGTTATCAAGAGTTCATGAGGTCTTGTTATTGGTTTAAACATGGTTCAAAGATTTATTGAGTACCTTAGAGGTCATTGTGGAGTTGGAGTAGTCATTCAATTCATCTACAAAGGGCATAAACAAAGGACATGAAACTGGGGTTTCACATATAATCAGCCTAGACTTGTTTCTTTGAGCAAGACTTGGTTCCATGATCCTTCATATGTCCTAAGGTGTTTAGGGGTAGAGGATTGATCGTCAATTTCAACTAGAAGAACTTCAATTGGTCAGTCAATTGCAAATCAGGTGAATTTGGGGAAAGTCAATTGTGCAGAGAAAAAAGTCAACTCCTAACTTTTTGAGGTCAAGATCATGTTCCTCATGTTTAACATGGCCAATGGATGAAGATTGACCAAGAAATGTCAAAGAGATCATGAAAAATCAAGAAGTTTGAAACTTTCCATTTTTGGAAAATTAGGGTTTTAGAAACTTTCCATTTATGGAAAGTTTCATGGTTGAATCAGCCATCTTCAAGGCCACTTTCCTTCATGATCAAGGCTCCAAATGAAATTTTGTCCAACATCAAAGTTGTTCCTCATCCTATGAGCTTTCTTTTGAGTACCAATTCATCATCATGTGATGTTTAAAGCTCAAGTTATGATGTTCAAAAGTTAGGATTTTCATAGACATCAAATTTAACAAGTTTGGGCAGATTTTTGGACCAAGTTTCCAAGGCAATTTTCGTCAAGTTCTTGATGCCAAATGAAATTTTGTCCCACATGAGAGTTATAGATCATGTTCCAAGCTTTCCATCCATTACTAGAAATTTCTCATGGGATTAATGAAGCTCAAGTTATGTGGGTTCAAAGTTGGAGTTCCAATTATGTCAAAACTCATAACTTAGAAAATTTTCCAAGTTATTTCAAGACAGATTTTGTGGCATGGTTTTGAAGCTTGATTTTCATGATCTTCCAAGGTTATAATCAAGTTTCCATCAATATGAGAAGTTTTCCTCATCATTTTAACTTTCATTTGAGCCCAAGTTTCAATCAAGAAGAGCCAAATTCAACAAGCTATGATGGCTCAAAGTAGGTGATTTGGAAATTGAGTCAAGGCATGATTCATGGATGTTTTGACATGATTTTCAATATGGCCTTGCACCATTGTTCAACTATTAACCTCATGCGCGAGACCCCTCTTTCCATACTGTTGCACCCCAAAATTTGCCTAACATTTTCTTAACTTGGTTTATGTTTCATTTGATTTTCTTCTAGCATTTGCATTGCATAGCATTGTTCATTTAGCAGGGGATCAAGAGGTTGTGCATAGCAAGAGAAGGTCACCAAGAGTGTTGAGCCTAAGCAAAGGATTTACTCAAGCATGAGTGGTCATCAAAGTCATCAAGAGGTGGTCAATGCTCCTTGAAAGAATTTATGGGTGTATGTGGATCAGCTCCTAACTTGGAGGCCAGTTGAAGATCGTCAGAGGATTGTGAATTCATGATTATGGATATGGGATGTTGAGGAAGCTCATTGAAGGTTTTGAGAGCCATGTTGGAGTTTATTCAAGTAGTTGTGTCATGTGTAAGAAGCCACAGTCAAGCACCTAGGGTTTATGTTACCAAAATAGGACCAACAAAGCATGTACCATTTGGTGTCATTTTGGAAAATCTTGGCCAAAGAAGGAAAGAAGCAAGCAGCCACAAGCCTGACCATTACACACTCCTTTTGATCCTTTTTTTCACTAAGCAAAAAGCACATCACAATGCCATAATTCGGACCCCATGCATCATCCACCATTGAATTCAAATTCTCTCTCAAATCTGCAGCACTTGTTACCACTTGTTTTAACCATAGTAATTAGCTTTTTAACCTAGCCAAAGCCTCATATAAAAGCTAAGAACAAAAAAACCTAGGGAAAACAGCCAACATTGTGAAGAAAATCAAACTTAGTTTTCACTTTTCTCTCTGAAAGTTTCCTTCGAAA